TTAGGGGCAACCAGCACGGGTTCATTAGAGTCAGGTCCCATCAGACCAACGTGGTGGCCTTCTGTGACCAAGTCACCAAATCCTTAGATGCAGGGGTAGCAGAGAAAGTATGCTCGTTTGTTTTTTGATGATCTCCATACCTCTTAATATTGAAGAGGTGGTAATATTGATAAAGATGGGCTTTTTCCTCAGTCCATATCTTGTCATTTGGCAGCTTTTGTCTATTTATAACACCCTAGAAAACAGTGCTTATAAATATTGTTTCTGAAAGTAGGTGTGTGTAAATTCAGGCCATAAGTTCTAACTGGATATAGAGCTGGATAACACTGGCATACCGGTGAAACTAGTTTGAGGAAAATTGACTTCTCAGCCAAGTTCACAAAGAAGCTCTAAAATTATTAAAGTTTGTTTTTTCAAAATATTTTCGTTTTGGAAAACTTAAATCTGTTTAATTTCTTAATTAATTAATTTAATTTCTTTTTATTTATGAAGGACAACAGTTTTAAAAGACCTGTAAGTGTCAATGTAAGCCATGAATATATTTGTTACTTACTGACTGCAAATTTCCACCTGATTAATTTTTGGTGCAAGGACGTGTACATATGGAAAGTCCCAAACCCAGTAATACTTTAGTTGTCTTTTGTCTTTGCTGTTGCCTTACCAAGAGCCACTTACATAGATTGTTCTGGTCAGCAGGAATCTTTTTGTGCTGTGATGACAGTTTTGTCAGGTAGTATAAATATGGAAATAAAATTCAGGTTCCTTTTAATAACAGGCAGGATTTGCAGCCACCTTAATTTGCAGATCTTTCCTGCTTGTCTTGGGTGACCGAATTTTTTTTTGTTTTGTTTTAAAATGCTTCATAATTTTCAGATTCTTAATATTGATGGTATTCTTTTAAACCTGTTTGTTACAGTGCCAGATCCGGTTTGGAGGAAGAAAAGAAATTGCTTCAGATTCTGATAGCAGGTAAAAAATATAATAACAATAACAAAAATATAATCAACAACAGAAAAAACTTTTAGAAGAAGGTCTGTGTGTCCTGCTTACATGGAGTTCACCACAGGAAAATGTTTGGCCCTTTTACAAAGAAATCCTTGCTTATGTAACTTCGGCCACAAGAAACGGTTGGTTGCATTCTTTCTGCTTGTGCATGCAATGTTCCAGATGAAGGGGCCGCCCATGTGCGTAAGTGTTTGCAGGATCAACGCTGAATTCTGTAGTGTGGGCACAGGAGTGGAGGAACTTTAACTTAGATGCCCTAAGTCTGTTTGTTTTCTGTTGTGTTTCTTCTTCTTTTAAAAAAACCCAACTAATTAGAACCAGGTGGATTTTTCACTCCCAGTGTTCTATCTGCAAGTGACTGGTTTCTCTCTCCTTATTCTAAAATACATATCTTGTAAGTAATGCAAATTCAGAATGAAAATTTTCATTTAGACCCTATTCCAGCGGATTGGCTCAGTTATGGTTTAGGTAACAGGCTTGTGGGCTTTACTTGAATAACTGTTGTTAATGAGAACTGATGGAGACCAATATAGCGTTCTGTTGCTCCTCCTGAGTCCGTTACTTAAGAATCTGGGAAAATGAAACTCCAAAGAGGAAAACAATGGCTCTGTTTTTCCTGTAGTCTCCAACATGTTCAGTTGCCTTTTCACCTGCAGTTTGTCATCCTTAGACAATGTCTGTGGAAACTGCTAAATTCCTTACTTAGATTTCCTTCCCCACCTCCATGAGAAGCACACTTAATTGACATTTGATTAATTTTCTTTTTTTGTGTCCCACCTTTTCCATGTCCTTTGTAAAGTATGGCGGAAGGAAAGGTTTTCTTATGTGTATTGTTAAAATGGACATGGTTTTCTGTAGATGTAAAGCAAAAACCTCTGAAGAAAAGTAAGATTTTTGTGAGCAGTCTAAAGCTTATCTAACTTTATCCCAGTCATGTAATTGGCCTAATAAAAGATATCATCCACACAAATTCTTGCCTCTCACCAAATTCCTGGATCAGTCTGGCTACCACATCGCACTAACACTAAAGAAAAATACTACCTTTTGTCATGTTGTTCAGTTACTGAAATGTTTTAACAATTTGGGTTGTCCCCTTTTAGAATTTGTTTATTGACGAACACGGGCAGTTGGCACTGAATATTATATTGGACCAAATATAGTCCAGTTTACACACAAATATTCCTATTAGTCAGGCAGACTAGTCATCTTAGTCAGTCATATAGTATTTGGCATTTAAGGCTTTAACAAGAAATGGAAATGTCATGAACAGAGTTTTCCAATGCTTGGTTTTCTAGTAAGAGTTGGAGCTCGTGATTTTTGGAGGTGTTAGCAAGTCTTCAGCTTCCACAATCTGTTAAGGGCTTTAGTTCACAACTAGATATTTTACTAGATTACTATAGTATTTTTTGAGCTTTTACTAAAACTGGGTTGTTTTAATTCTTTTCAGTTCTGCAGTGTCTAACACACAAGGGCCTTGTTGTTGCTTTCTCTTAAGTTCTTATAACACGCTCATTGCTATGAGCGTATTTGTTGCACGCTATTGAAAACACATCATTACAGTATTTTCCATTTTAGTGGCTAAGTTATCTTTTGTATAAAGCAACCTTTCCATAGATGACAATTAGGAATTTGTTTCCATAGCTAATAAAATAATTTCCATTTGCTTTTGGAAGGTTTTTTCATTTTAATTCTTCACAGTTAAGTGGTTTTGGTTTCATTCTAGTTGCATCTGGGATGTTAATAACTTGACTGACATCTCTTTATCACAAGAGCTAGATTCTTAGTTTTTCTGTTCTTTCTGCCTGCAAGAGTCGCATGGGTTCTTTTGGTCAAATTTGTTTGTTGGCATTTCCTCTTGACCGTAGCAGTTGGCTATAACAAAACATGAAATTGTTCACAGCTATTTTCACAATTCTATTCAGAATGTTTTGAATGATATGCTACTTATTTTGAAATTCAGATTTTCTTAAAATAGCTGATGAAAAATACTGTTTGGTTAAAAAAACAAAACAAAACACAACCCAAAAAACAAAACAAAACAGCCTTCTGTCATAGCTGGCAGCCAGGCTGCACCTATTTCTTCTTTGTGGTCTCCCTGAATTTACAGCTTCAGGTCTTGGAGCATGGGTGTTCCACCAGTGCTAGGGTGGATTTATGCAGTTCTTCCATTCTTAGTCCAGAGCCTGGGCTATAATATCCTCTATATCAACCTTTTTAGACACTAGGCACCCCTCATTAGACCTGAGATACCCCTCAAAAAATGCCAGTTTTTAATTTTTCACTTATTTTTGACTATAGACAAATAATAGAGCTAAGAACTCGGATCACTACAGATCAGAATAGATGTAGTGCTATGGATTCCTATTTGAAATATCTGAGTTCATCTTTTGAATAAGGTTTGCACACCTAATAATGCTAACTTTGTGCAGCACCCCGCAGCAGTCTTGAAAGGATCTCAATACCGTTGGACTTTGGTTGAGAATCTTGGCATGTCTGCACAAGATATTTACTGAGCAGCTGAC